AGGACAGCGGCGCTTACCAGACAACCACGTCAAGCATGACCATGGAAATAGCCGCTGCTTCTAGAGCTTTAGCATGGGTATCCGAGCAAACCGCCACACATGCAGTAAGTGTCACGTCTTTGCCGTCTTCGGGGCCGAGAAAGGTGACGATATAACCAGCTTCTCATGGGGACAATTAGTAGAAGTACTTTGGAGTGGCTGCTGCTTCGGAGAACTGAGCACGCATGGGTATGTCCAATGTGGAGTGACATCAAGTGTGATAACAAAACATAAAATAACATCTTGTACGGGGTCGGCAGTCCGAAACCCAAGTTCAAGGTGTCTTCTTCGTGCCAAAGAAGTGCGTTAACGAAGGCAGGCAGATCGTTGTAGGGGCGACGCCTGCTGGTGGATGTAATGTCCTAAGTCCCTTTCGCAGCTAATAATGAGGGTACTTCTGGGGTGACTGTTTATTAACCCTCATATAATGCTTCAGGTCAAAATGGACGCTAGGCACGGCCATCTTTTTTTCTGCCAGATGGTGACCGTTGCATTTTTGCTCCATTTGTAGACTGGAAGGATATAGTTTAGTCGCCAAGCTTCTGAGTTGAGTGCATTGCGTGACACTGTGAGCTACGTGTTTTTTTTGTTGGCACAGTAGCGGAGCAACTATGGGGTGACCCGTTTGCTATGAAGCTGAAACTGGGATTACCAGATTACCAGATTACCAGAGTCTACAACAACAATCAGTCAATATGTCACCCAAAACTGAGAGTCTACAACAACAGTCAATCAATAAGTCACCCAATATTTAGCGTCTACAACAAAAAATCAATCAATTAGTCACACAGTATTTAGAGAATACTACAACAACAATCAATCCATAAGTAACCCAGTATTTAGAGAATACAACAACAATCAATCAATCAGTACTCTGGTATTTAGAGTATATTACAACAATCAATCAAATAGTAACCAAGTACTGAGAGAATACTACAACAATCAATCAATTAATCACCCTGAGTTAGAGTATACTACAATAATCAATCAGTTAGACACCCAGTATTTAGAGTCGACTAGAACAGTCCAATAATTAGTGACGCAGTTTTTAGAGTTCGCTGACCCAGTTCTGTCCGTTTCATATCTAAGCGCCCATCAATACATGTGACACTATTTTTTAGAACTAGAGCATTGTTCATATCTGGTGAATCTATGTCTTCAGCGAGAACAGTGTTTGTATTTTGTGAGTCTATATCCCCAGGTGTCGGCTCTGTGGCTAAGTCGATGCGAACGCTTCGCTTCGTAATGCCGGGATGCCAGGTTCGATCCCAGCTGCGGGCACTGCGCCTTGCGTTGGTTTCGACAGCGGTATCAAGAAAGCCGACCAGAAGCAATGGCAAACTACTGGACGTATATTGCCTAGAGAAACCACACAACAGCCAGGGGCTGTTAGGGTTGGTTCTGCAACGTCCTGTAAAGGATACGCAACTAACTTTTTATATCCCCAGGTAGAACAGTGTTTGTATTTTGTGAGTCTATATCCCCAGGTAGAACAGTGTTTGTATAGTGTGAGTCTATATCCCCAGGTAGAACAGTGTTTGTATAGTGTGAGTCTATTTTCCCCAGAAGAACAATGTTTGTGTCGTGTGAGTTTACTTTCCCAGGTAGAACAGTGTTTGTATCGTTTGGGTCCATGTCTCCAGAGAATACAATGTTTGTATCTTGTCAAAATCCCCACCAATCAATAATATCTTGTATTATAGGCAAAAGTCAATTTTATCGACTGGTATTTTTCCTGATATTAAATTTTACAAATGTGTATTGTCATTCTAGATCAGTTTTACAGCAACAGAGAACAGTTTCCTAGACAGAGTCGGTGCTACAGTAGTTGTAATCATGCTGACGTCAGACACGCCCGAGTTGACTAAACTGATACTCACTTTGCTTGTGGCCGTTGTCTCGGTACATTGTCGTGTGGTCAGGGTAAGCAGTATTTCATTAATTCGTTTCTCAGGGTCAATGATTCAACTCATTTCCACTAACCCTCGTCCTTGAAACGGTCAGGGGTCTTCGTGTTTCTACTATTATACTATTCATAACTTAGCCAAAGTCCAAATGGACAAACAATCCGGACTTTCCGCTGGAGCGTACAGCCGAGGAACAAAGGAGAAGAATAAATAACTTTGAATATTGAGAGAGGGCACATACGACTTTGATCACAGTATCGGCATGATTTGAATTCCTTTCTAGCGAACGCTTTTGTTTTACCCAACAATTAGTACACGGCCTGGAATGTCATCTCAGGCAAGTATCATTTACTCTCAGGCAGTTGGTTTTCTTACAAGTGGAATCCTACAGATGTGGCAGCAATCCTCACAAGCAGAAGTCGCCTACAGGTCGGAGATAGCAACAATCCTCACAAGGATTGGGGTGGGGCAGACGTCGGCTACAGGTCGGAGATAGCAACAATCCTCACAAGGGTTGGGGTGGGACAGAAGTCGGCTACAGGTCGGAGATAGCAACAATCCTCACAAGGATTGGGGTGGGACAGAAGTCGGCTACAGGTCGGAGATAGCAACAATCCTCACAAGGATTGGGGTGGGACAGAAGTCGGCTACAAGTCGGAGATAGCAACAATCCTCACAAGGATTGGGGTGGGACAGAAGTCGCCTACAGGTCGGAGATAGCAACAATCCTCACAAAGATTGGGGTGGGACAGAAGTCGGCTACAGGTCGGAGATAGCAACAATCCTCACAAGGATTGGGGTGGGACAGAAGTCGGCTACAGGTCGGAGATAGCAACAATCCTCACAAAGATTGGGGTGGGACAGAAGTCGGCTACAGGTCGGAGATAGCAACAATCCTCACAAAGATTGGGGTGGGACAGAAGTCGGCTACAGGTCGGAGATAGCAACAATCCTCACAAAGATTGGGGTGGGACAGAAGTCGGCTACAGGTCGGAGATAGCAACAATCCTCACAAGGATTGGGTTGGGGCAGACGTCGGCTACAGGTCGGAGATAGCAACAATCCTCACAACGATTGGGATGGAGCAGACGTCGACTACAGGTCGGAGCTTGCAGCCAGAAATAAAAAACAAAATACAAACACAAGAAAAGTTTTCAAAACATTGACAAATTTGAAGCAGTACAACAAAATAATTTAAATGAAAGTTATTTCAGACACACACACACATACACACACACACACACACACACGCACACACTCACCCACAGACACCCACACATATATATATAATGAAGGACTCTTCTCCACGCCTTCAGGTGTTTCAGGCATATAGGGCTAGATCTTTATTTATAGACCTGTAGTTACTCGTCTCAAAAACAATACTCCAGGGCTCATTAGAGGGGAAGAGGAGAAGAGGCAGGCCCAGAAAGACCTGAGTACATAATCAGACTGACTGGACAGGCCTCAGACAGGCAACCATGAAGTCCATCGCAACTGACCGCTAACGGTGGAGAGCCAAAGTCCGAATGAACAAACAATCCGGACTTTCCACCGGAGCTTACAGCCCAGGTACAAGGAAGAAGAATAAATAACTTTCAGACAGACAACAGAAACTGGTGACACAACGACACGCAGTGTTACGAGATGATGATGATGATGATGATGATGATGATGATAGGTACTCGGTGGGTGAAGTGCTGAGCATCACACCTGCCGCCTTTACTTCACAGGACTACATCCGGTACCCACTCAAAGCTGTGTCGACCTGGTAACCAAGATCTTTTTTAAAATAAGTGTGGCTCCATCAGGAACGATGTCCTTCCGATCCGCACGCAGACATGCTTGACACGAGGCTGTCACTCAGTCAGTTGAGTCAAAGGCAATGTAAGAGCTGACCAGTAATGTCCCACTGCAAACAGGATGAAGCATGGACAGAGCTAGTACGGACTGCGATTGGGGGATCATGATGAACCTCCGACGCTAACATGATTTCGGGACCTGTAAGTAAACTTTGGTGAAGCACGTCTATGCTGTCGTCATCGTCAAGACCGGAGATATTATAACCAGCTCTTGATGTCAACGGCCAATAGAGGTACTTTGGATTGGCTGCTGCATCGAAGCTCTAAGCAGGCATGGGAATGCCCATATTCAGTGACGTTGATTGTGATAATTTAACATAACATAACTGATCCTGTTGTGTGTCCAGCGGACAAACATACTTGTCACGACGCTGTCACTGATCCTGTTGTGTGGCCAGCAGACAAACATACTTGTCACGACGCTGTCACTGATCCTGTTGTGTGGCCAGCGGACAAATATACTTGTCACGACGCTGTCACTGATCCTGTTGTGTGTCCAGCGGACAAACATACTTGTTACGACGCTGTCACTAATCCTGTTGTGCGGCGAAGAAGATGACGTCAAGCGCAGTGCACATGCTTCGTAGCTCCGACAAACAATTCTCATAAAATGAACAATCCATATTTAAAAAAAAATTTGTTATGACGTAGGAAGTAACCGGTCACCCTAGTAAAGCCTGCCAAAGGTGACGACAGGGATACTTCGAGCAGAGTGGCAAGCTTCACTGGGAAGGTCACGGGTAGTGAGCATACTTTGCTCGATCTGCAACACTGGGTGGTGAATTGATACATGATCAGGCAGATGTGGTCAAGGCCCTTTGGAAACAAGCAACAGAATTAGTAGAGAAACAAGATTATTATAGCCTGGAAAGAATGAGGCACCTGGGTGTAACCTGGGGGTCTGGCCGGCTCACTACAGACATAGGAAAGGCAAAACTGATATTTAAAGAGATTGTGACTGGTACCATCAGTATTGGAACTTTGCGCTGGCTGCTAAAGATGAAGACGGAATGACCCAAATGCTTTGATGTCAATTTACTCAGCTCAACTAACTATTGTGAGGCGAAACAAAGATGCTGTTTCTCTGTGCAGATACGTATCAACGTATGTAATATCTAGCTCAAAAGAAAGCACATGTCACTGGACTTGAGATTTCTGTTGTCCGAACTCAAGCCTCCATTACTCCACAGGTCAGGATCAACGATACAGTGTTTGACTGGAGACAGAAAGGTGTTATTGCCCCTGTTTCTAACCAGGGAGAGATAGGTGACGCTGTTGCTTTTGTTGTTGCAGGTATGTAGATAATTTACATGTCTGAGTTTTCATAAGTATGTTTGCATAGACGCCTATCTGTTTTGCGAAGTCTCAGTTGTTTCAGATTCGTGTATCTATGTGTACCTCAAAAATTAACTGTTCTACATCCTGTTTGTTGGTCATCATACTCATCTCTCACCTCTCTCGGGCGCTTTCTCTCTCTTTCTCTCTCTCTCTCTCTCGCTCTCTCTCTCTCTCTCTCTCTTTCTCTCACTCTCTCTCTTTCTCTCACGTGCTTTCTCTCGCCTGATCCCTCTCTCTCTCTCTCTCGCTTGCTCTAATTCTCTCTCTTCCTCTCTTGATCTCTCGTTCTCCCTCTCTCGCTTGCTCTAATTTTGGTCTTTCTTGCTCTGTTTCTTCCTCTCTCGATCCATCTCGCTTTCTTTCGTTCTCCTCTCTCGTTCTCTCCTCCCTCTGTAGCTTCCTCTGTCCCTCACTCTCTCACTTTCTCCTCTCTCACCCAATGTTTTGCTCTCTCTTGCTCACATGCTGTCTAGCTCTGTGTCCTCCTCTCTCTCCTCTCTCCTCTCTCTCTCTCTCTGGCGCGCTCTCTCTCTCTCTCCTCTATCTCTCTCTCCTCTCTCTCTCCTCTCTCTCTCTCTCCTCTCTCTGGCGCTCTCTTGGTTTATCTCCTCTTGTGTACACTCTCTCTGTCTCTCTCTCTCTGGCGCTCTCTTGGTTTATCTCCTCTCGTGTACACACTCTCTCTCTTCTCTCTCTCTTCTCTCTCTCTCTCTCTCTCTCTGGCGCTCTCTTGGTTTATCTCCTCTCGTGTACACACTCTCTCTCTCTCTCTCTCTGGCGCTCTCTTGGTTTATCTCCTCTCGTGTACACTCTCTCGCCCGCTCTCTCTTGTCTCACTCTCTCTCTTTCTGGCGCTCTCTTGATTTATCTCCTCTCTTGTACATTCGCTCGCTCTCTCTGCTCTCTCACTCTCTCTCTCACTCACTGACTTTACCACTTTTCTCCTCTTTCGAGCTCGCCATTGTATAACATGTTTAGTCAGTGTACAAACCACTTACATCGACAGAGGGCGTGGAAAGCTTACATGCCATACAGAATGGCAACCGACTAGTGACGCTGAGCCGCCAAGAGGTGGCCGATTGTTGCGATGAAAACTTCCACCCCAAGTATGCCGGCTACCAGTGTATCGCGCTGATCGGTGGACTGTGTACAGCCGACGCCTACATACCTTCTGGTGGTCACTGCAACAACAAGACCTGCCCGGCTGTTGGCAAGGTAAGACTGACCCCATCTAGGTAGGTTTAAGTCCAAGTTCAGCTTCCGTTGAAGTACTGCAGGGTATCTAGAATCTGATTTGTTGGTCTGTCGCCTAGACTAAGATTCAGTAATCTTTGGATGGTGTCATCAACTTTAAGGTAGCAGTGTGGAGGAGAGACACTTTCGTCTCTTGTCAGATTGTTTTCTCTGCGCCCCTCTGGAAAATGTCCTAATGAACATTTCAGGCATTCATTACAAAAGACGACGAGGGCTACCACTGTTGCTGACACCGTTCCGTCTCTCCAGACTATAAGAGTTCCAGTGTTGCTGGTACCTTTCTGTCTCTCCAGACTATAAGAGTTCCAGTGTTGCTTGCACCTTTCTGTCTCTCCAGACGATAATTTTTCCAGTGTTGCTGCCACCTGAGTATCTGCTGTCAGATTATCTGCTGTCAGAGTATCTGCTGTCAGAGTATCTGCTGTCAGATTATCTGCTGTCAGATTATCTGCTGTCAGAGTATCTGCTGTCAGAGTATCTGCTGTCAGAGTATCTGCTGTCAGATTATCTGCTGTCAGATTATCTGCTGTCAGAGTATCTGATACACCATACCATACAAAGTATACATGGAAAGAGAAGAAGGACATAGAACACGAGGTAGACCAAGAACAACCTGGAAGGATAACATCAGAGAAACTCTACAACATCACGATGTGCCTATGGTCGAGGCGGCCAGAAGAGCTAGAAACAGAACCTTATATCTCCCTCGACACCCACAGCGGTAAAAGAGGAAATGAAGAAGAAGAAGAAGAAAAGTATATGATGTCACAGTATCTGCTGTCAGAGTATCTGTTGTAAGAGTATCTGCTGTCAGAGTATCTGCTGTCAGAGTATTCAGAGTATTTGCTGTCAGAGTATCTGCTTTCAGAGTATCTGATGTAAGAGTGACAATCTGCCCGTGTCTATAAGATGCAAGTGACTGCACTTTGTGCATATGCCTCTTGTCCTCATTCTCATCAGACTGCCCCCCAAAGACATCAGTCGGTTCCAGACATCTCTATTCGATGAACGCCAGTCTGCTGCACCTCTCTCCCATCTTTCTTGGACAAGGATTCAATGTAAAACTTCCTGAGTTCTAATCTTGACTTACGCGGTCATATATGAATAAACCTAAAACTGCATATTTTTCCTAACATATTAAAATCCCTTGTCTGACGCATCCAAGGGATGAAAAAACATTCCATTATTTAAACATAAAATGTCCCAAGGTGACCGGAACTGGACACATCCCGGCGCAGCGGGAAGATCTGATGGTTGAGGTTATCCACAAGACGCCACTTTCAGCAGTTCTTGACGCCAGTCTGCAATCATTTCAGGTACCTGGCTACTTAAATATCTGCCTACCATCGAATGTGTCTACGTGCCTACTTACCTACTTTCACACAGTTTACCCATCGTATCATCTGCTTACTTTTCTAACTATGTATCGACCTACATATCTTCCGACACATCGGCGTATCTATCTATCTAACTATCTATCTATCTATCTATCTATCTATTTATCTATCTAATCTATCTATCTATCTATCTATCTATCTATCTATCTATCTATCTATCTATCTATCTATCTATCTATCTATCTATCTATCTATCTATCTATCTATCTATCTATCTATCTATCTATCTATCTATCTATCTATCTATCTATCTATCTATCTATCTATCTATCTATCTATCTATCTATCTATCTATCTATCTATCTATCTATCTATCTATCTATCTATCTATCTATCTATCTATCTATCTATCTATCTATCTATCTATCTATCTATCTATCTATCTATCTATCTATCTATCTATCTATCTATCTATCTATCTGATCTATCTATCTGATCTATCTATCTGATCTATCTATCTGATTTATCTATCTATCTATCTATCTATCTATCTATCTATCTATCTATCTATCTATCTATCTATCTATCTATCTATCTATCTATCTATCTATCTATCTATCTATCTATCTATCTATCTATCTATCTATCTATCTATCTATCTATCTATCTATCTATCTATTTAATCTATCTATCTATCTATCTATCTATCTATCTATCTATCTATCTATCTATCTATCTATCTATCTATCTATCTATCTATCTATCTATCTATCTATCTATCTATCTATCTATCTATCTATCTATCTATCTATCTATCTATCTATCTATCTATCTATCTATCTATCTATCTATCTATCTATCTATCTATCTATCTATCTATCTATCTATCTATCTATCTATCTATCTATCTATCTATCTATCTATCTATCTATCTATCTATCTATCTATCTATCTATCTATCTATTTATCTATCTATCTATCTATCTATCTATCTATCTATCTATCTATCTATCTATCTATCTATCTATCTATCTATCTATCTATCTATCTATCTATCTATCTATCTATCTATCTATCTATCTATCTATCTATATATCTATCTATCTATCTATCTATCTATCTATCTATTTTATTTCTGTTTTAACTATCCGACTGTTGTTGTTTTTTGTAGGGAAGGGGGGGGGGGGCTGTCTGCATATGTATCTGTATGTCTTTAGTGCTAACTGTCCTCTAGGTATCTGTAAGCCTGAATGTCTCCGTATACCTCTAGATTCTTGTTCTACAGTCTCAGTCTGTGTATGCGTTCGTGTATGTTCCACACCGTGTCATATGTTCCTATCTCAGTCCCACTACTGCTGCCTTCCACTCCTGCGGTCCATCATTCACCGCGTTCCTCCTTGTGTTCCAGATTTACGCGAGCGGAATCTACTCAGACCCATCATGCAGCTCCACTAATGTGGATCACGTGGTGCAGATTGTTGGCTATGGGACAACCTCAGAGGGTCAGGACTACTGGATTCTCAAGAACTCCTGGGGTCAGTGGCTTATTTATAAGGCTGTAACACAACAGTTGAGTCAGTTGCTCATTGATAAGGCTGTAACACAACATTTCAGTCAGTTGATCATTGATAAGGCTGTAACACAACAGTTGAGTCAGTTGCTCTTTGATAAGGCTGTAACACAACATTTCAGTCAGTTGATCATTGATAAGGCTGTAACACAACAGTTGAGTCAGTTGCTCTTTGATAAGGCTGTAACACAACAGTTGAGTCAGTTGATCATTGATAAGGCTGTAACAGAACAGTTGAGTCAGTTGATCATTGATAAGGCTGTAACACAACAGTTGAGTCAGTGGCTCTTTGATAAGGCTGTAACACAACAGTTAAGTCAGTTGCTCATTGATAAGGCTGTAACACAACAGTTGAGTCAGTTGCTCATTAATAAAGCTGTAACACAACAGTTGAGTCAGCTGCTCATTTGATAAGGCTAACACAACGGGTGAGTCTGTTGCTCTTTGATAAAGCTGTAACACAACAGTTGAGTCACTGAAAAATGTAGCCCAAAAATTGATAAGCCTTTTGCACAATGAGAAATAGCACATGCAATAAAGGTTTATCAGCTGCGGAGAAAGGATGTGTTCTTACGAGACACAGAAAATGGTGATGTTCAGCAAACATGAAATACTGACAGTCAGTAGACCAGTGAGAAATGATGTGCACGCATAAAAGATGAAATTCTTTAGAATCTGATCGAAGCAAATTAGGGAAATATAATAGCAACAACAACAAAAAAACAAAAAAGAAGATGATTGTTAGAAGGTTATTTACAAGGGTAATTGGTTACTCTTCACAAAATTCTTCTTCTTCTTTGTGTTCACCAGCTGTACACTCTGGCGTAAAGTTCTGGTTGTTCGTCCACTTCTGGACTGCAGTCATGCTCCAGAACCTGAGTGTTGCGTGTGCATCAGTTTTACAGATCTGATTCAATTGAATGCAGACTGCTGGTTCCTTGCCTCTCAGGCAGATGCACACCGACTTCAAAGGCAATGACAGAGCACAATGACAGGTGTCAAACAAAGCTTGAAGTTCGAGTACTCTGTCATGATGGGTAGCTCCTGTGGCTTGCTTTGCTTCACATGTACTGTGGGGTTATTTTCCCTCTGGAGTAAACGAGGCAGAATGAGTGAGGTATGATACTGCGTGGGGCACCATGTGATCTCTGCACATGCGCGTAAGCTGTGTGCCATGAGCACCAGTAATGGTTCAGCACAGGTCCTCAAATCCCATGCTCCCATTGTGGACAGCTTCTCTTAACGCCAGCGGGTCTTGCTAGTCGCACTCGCCATCGCCATCAGCTGTGATTCCCAAGCCTCTCTACAGCACAATATAAGTCTATCGTTTAGACATGCGGAAAGGTGCCAACTGAACTGTTGCCAAGGGATAGTTCAAAGGATGGATTCGTTTTGTCACGTGAGGTGGGGAGAAACAGTTTGGTGGGTGTCGGGGTACCAATGTGGCATCTTCTGCACATTCGTTGGCTGCAATCTCGGGGGTTGGTTGGGAAAGGGGGGGGGGGGGGGGAGCAGTTCTAGTCATTCGTCAGCTTCTGACTCTAGTGCTGTTTCGGAACCTGATTGTTGCCTGCACATCCGTTTGACAGAGCTGACTCATTTGTATGCAGACTGTTCGGTTAATTGTCTCTCATGCAGATGAACTTCGACTTCAAAGGAATTTTCTGTATTTGAAGTGATCAGTAGAGAAGGTTGTGGATAGGAAACATGAATATTGCTGATAAAATCTAGTATAAATGTTTCGCTGTATTTTTGTGAATCTTTCAATTTCCCTACATTCAGCTTTCTAACCAGTGTGTGCTCTGTTTCATTGTCGCTGTTTTCTTGCACAATAAATCTGAAACAGATCAGTTACACAAAAGACCACATTTATGTACGATCAATTTTAAACAGATCAACTACACAACAGTGAGCTCAAACAATCACTTTGGTACAGTATTTACTGTTTGTATCTACTTCTGTTTACCTTGATGTACAACTGGTAGGTCTTGAGACTGAGGATGTGGGGCTGATGGCTAGTGCCAGTTCATTTCCCTAATTTTGCCCCTAATTGACAAACAAAAACAACCATTATTTTTATTAAGATTCAAACCGGGCATTGCCGAAAATAAGCCCAGCGTGTCAAAACTGTGGGTTAGGAGGAATTTTCTACACGAAAGTAAACGCAGCAGTAATAGTAGTAGTAGTAATTGTAGTTATAGTAGTAGATTTTACCCCACCAGGACATCACACAAACGATAAACACCCGATGACACAAAGGGCCATCCTGTCGATGAGGATCACCCGTGGAGAGGTCCCGGAAACTGCGTTCAGTCATTAGACCATATTTATGGCCGGGCTATACTGCAGCCCCTGGCAAGAGCCATGGTTGGGCTAAGTAACGATAAATTGTATCTTAGAAAGAGATTACTAGTTACAGTATTGTTTATTTAAATGCACGTTTCTGTACCATCGATACCAGGTTAATTTAACTAAGTTTAATCAGGTGTCAAATTGTTGAAAGTGGGGATCGTGGAGGGTAAGAAGTCTGTGTCCCAGCATAAGAAGACGACTAAAACAGAACAAATGGTAATGATCCGCACACAATTTAACAGTCACATGGCGGCCAGGTTAATGTTTTTCTTTTATTTATTGCAACAGTCAGAAAAGGTAACCTTTTGCTGGGGTTATATACCTTTAAACATTGATTTCAATTACACCCTTTACAATAAGTTTTTGAAATCTCTTATCTCCCTGAATACGTGAAGGGTTATTTCTTTTCCAGATTCAGCAGACAAATAGGTATGTTAAATGGATGTTCATGCTAGCTAGGGTGCTTTTCACTTGGTACATAAGTCCGAGTCCAAGTCCTTTTGAGAAAAAAAAAAGAAAAGCTCGACCACGTTCAGACTGCTGCTAGCTAGCCTAGGCTGCTAACAGTCTCCGCCTATATTTGTGGTCTGTGTTATTTGCGTCACTTTCGTGAATGAATACTAGTGTTTGTGCCGTTTCTGGGCTTGATGCTTCCATCCGAATCAAACCGCTCGTCCTGTTGTCACTCTTTTCATGTCTTCCTTCTTCTTTCTTGGTGTTTCCTGTTTGTTCTGTCTCCCTTTGATCTGTCTAGGCGTATCTCGAAGGAGAGCGAGCTTCCATACACAACATCTTTTCGGCCACCATTTATTGTTTTAAAATTTTGAGTATTTTAATTTTGCCAAAAAGTACTGAAAACGGTTTTTAAATTTGAATAGTTCCGAAATGTGAAAATTTTTCGCGTGTGACCATAGTGGTCTTATAGTTGTCTTCCTGTAATATGAAAGGGTTAGTCATGTAATGGATATGTGTGTGAGAGTTTATGTAGAGTCTTAAGCGGGTCCAGTCGTCAATTGTTATTATGTGATCGGGTTGTGTTGATAGCTAAGCTCCGGTGTACGTAAATACCATATAACCGGACCATCCAGCTCACGCTTTGAGATCCAAATGTTCGGCGATGAGAATTGCTGTGGCATGTTGGGCAACGAACTCAAAACTCTCTGTGGGAATGGGTTGGGGGGTTAAACTCATAGTGCATCCGAGAGAGTTAGGGAAAGGTGAGGGGAAAGGGGGCGGGAGGCCATTCAGTCATTTCTCGTCGTTGCCGTCTTGCTGGATTCTAGCGTGGCCTTTTACCGGGACTATGTGTATCACGTTACCAACCTTTGCTATCATCCTAGGGATGGGGTGGTATTGGAGGTTATGCGTTCTAGTCCTGTCATTATCGAGTCACTTGTTTTCCCTATTTGCTGTCAGTCATATTTTGTTATGAGTCCTGTCGGTCATGTGCATGTTGTATGCATGCTGTGGAGTGGGATGGTTTTGTGTATGAATCCCCGGAGTATATGGACGCACCCAACTAGGTGTATGCGTACATGCACTCGAGTACTCATACATGCAGACAACACTACATATTTGCACGTCCTTTCATACTTATCCGTGTATGCATACCTAATTGACATTACGTGCACACGCAAACTCTTTCATATGCGTCTACCAATGACTGTACTTACATTCATAAAAAACGAGTACATCCACACGTAGTGATATTCACTATTCCATGTCTCATGCGTTTTGTGTCGCTTTGTCTGTAATTTCGTCTGGTCGTGTCACTTTTAAGTTATGTCCCGTTACTGGTATGTGACCTGTCCGGTACTGTCTTATCATGTTTTGGTGGATGGGGTGTGTTGATGACGTTCTTGCTGCGTACACCCTTCATTCCGTTTGTTCTCATTAATTAACAGACATACAGCAACACAGTTTATGGTTTCTTTGAGTGCACTGTCATTCATACACTCACAAATATATAAATATGCACGCTCCCATATATATATATACACACATGCACACTCATACCCACATATACATGCATACAGTAATACATTTTAAATCCCTGTACTCATTCATTTGTACCTTTCGCTCAGCTATATTCCCACTGTTCTGTCCATACGTGATTCCTTACCATCCGCCTACATACACTGTGTCTTATGTATCCATGCTATACACAAATGCACTCATACTACACGCACTCATCCTTGTGTATGTGTCCATGTTCACATCTATGCACTCATCATACTTACACTATCTCTCTGACTCTAGGGTGTCCATCTCATCAGTTCCTTCTGTTGTACTGAGTAAATCCTTAATCTGGTCTTTTTAGTTTTGATTTGTTTTAATAAGGTTTTGTTTAACCAGTTTTTTGATGTCTTTATTGCTATCTACCTTTAAACATTTGTTTGCAGTAATTTGTTGTTTGCCTTTTAGAAAATACTCCTCAATGGGTTTCCTCTCCAATTTATATTTAGTGCAGTTTATTATATAATGCTCTATTGTATTATCCTGAAAGCAGTCCAGACATAGTGGAGATGTAAATTTCTCTGGATGTCACCCTAACCTAGCTCTCCATATTAGTTTGTTAGCTGGAATTTTCAGTTTGTCCCGTACCTGTGTGTTAAGACTGGGCTCTTTTAGGTTGATGTAGGCATCTCTGCCATTATTGCTCCCTTGCCATTGTAGTTTCCATATTTTAATTATATGTCGTTTGATTATGCTGGTCCTTTCAGTTTTTCCGAGTCCTACATCTACTAAAACATCACATTTTGCTCCCTTTTTGGCTGCTATGTCAGCTTTTTCTTGGTACATAAGAAAAATAATACCTATTATGCACTTTAACAAGACTTGGGCATATTGAAAGCAACTGTTTACATCCCTTGACCCAGTATTTAAAACAGCCGAGGGGCAATAACTCTCAATCAGGGGCTCTGTGTTGCCAGGTTACACGATTGCATGCGATGACGTCTGTGACAGTTTCGACCCACTTTTCACTAGAGCTATATCATTCTTAGAAATGGATGTCATCAAAGTTTCAAACACTGGGCCTTACAATTCTGTTAGCGGTAATAGGGTGGTAACAGTGGCAGTGGGGTGTACAAAGGGAGGGGCGGGGGTGAGTTGTAGTGGTAGGAGTCTCGAAGACGACTTTTCATATTTTAGGTATATGGTGCTCTTCCTTAGGTTGATAGAGACCAGTAGGTCGTTAGTTGGAAATGCCATCTGTCTCCCCAATACCCGATGTGGGCTCGGCTTCTGCTAGGCTTATTGTTTGCCTCGATCAGAAATGGAAGCCGGTGTACGGTCACAGGTCCAGCAGATAGGTGTAGTAACCACTGCGCTATCGCCACCTACACCTCCCTCCCCCTTTTCTTTTCTTTTTTTTTTTCGTTCTTATTGCAGTACGTGAGGGAACATGGTATCTGTACTTTCAGGAGAGGGCTGGGGTGAGCAAGGCTACATGAGGATCATTAGAGGCAAGAACATGTGTGGCATCGCATCCGGGGTCTTCTACCCAATCAACGACCAGTAGGACGGTCCAGGTCACGACTAAGGTCAGCGACGGACAGCCTGGGGCGGTGTTGTTCTACCGACTACCGTGGCACTATTGTCGGCCATATATCATCCGTTTACCTGTACATTACATTTGTACCACTATTTCTAAAAAAATTATGCAATAAAATTATATACAGGCACCGCTGTGTGAAATTATACTGACGTGTAATTGCTCCATGTGTGCGTATGTATGTGTGTATGTATGTATGTATGTATGTATGTATGTATGTATGTATGTATGTATGTATGTATGTATGTATGTATGTATGTATGTATGTATGTATGTATGTATGTATGTATGTATGTATGTATGTATGTATGTATGTATGTATGTATGTATGTATGTATGTATGTATGTATGTATGTATGTATGTATGTATGTATGTATGTATGTATGTATGTATGTATGTATGTATGTATGTATGTATGTATGTATGTATGTATGTATGTATGTATGTATGTATGTATGTATGTATGTATGTATGTATGTATGTATGTATGTATGTATGTATGTATGTATGTATGTATGTATGTATGTATGTATGTATGTATGTATGTATGTATGTATGTATGTATGTATGTATGTATGTATGTATGTATGCATGCATGCATGCATGCATGCATGCATGCATGCATGCATGCATGCATGTATGCATGCATGCATGCATGCATGCATGCATGCATGTATGCATGTATGTATGTATGTATGTATGTATGTATGTATGTATGCATGCATGCATGCATGCATGCATGCATGCATGCATGCATGCATGTATGTATGTATGTATGTATGTATGTATGTATGTATGTATGTATGTATGTATGTATGTATGTATGTATGTATGTATGTATGTATGTATGTATGTATGTATGTATGTATGTATGTATGTATGTATGTATGTATGTATGTATGTATGTATGTATGTATGTATGTATGTATGTATGTATGTATGTATGTATGTATGTATGTATGTATGTATGTATGTATGTATGTATGTATGTTTGTTTGTTTGTTTGTATGTATGTATGTATGTATGTATGTATGTATGTATGTATGTATGTATGTATGTATGTATGTATGTATGTATGTATGTATGTATGTATGTATGTATGTATGTATGTATGTATGTATGTATGTATGTATGTATGTATGTATGTATGTATGTATGTATGTATTTATGTATGTGTATGTGGGTATCAGATTAAAGAAGAAAGCAGCTTGGGTCACATGACGCGTGCAGGGTGTTCATGGCATATGAGTAGTGTCCATTTAATAGGAATTTTATTGACTGATTTATACATTCAGACATTGCATTTAATGATGCTTGGGCTTCCAGTTTAACTGTTAATGCATGAGTATCGTCCACTGGTGCACGTTAGACCAACGACATCAAGTAACCACGCTAATGGGTTCTAATGGAATCACATCGTCTGGTAGAGACTAGCGTGTTCTACATGTGATATCCGACTGTCATTCAGCTACTGTAGTGACAGTAAATGTCAGTCACATCATAAACATTAGTACATGGAATGTCTGAATACTTGTACAGGCCAGAAAGTTAGGCATTATCAAGAGGGAAAATGAGAGAGTGAATATCAAAATACTTGGAATTAGTGAAATTCTTTGGTCAGTTAAGTTGAGTTGAGTGGAGTCCAGAATTGACATCACAGCACTCGGGGCATTCCCGTGCATGCTCCGTCTTCATCTTCAGCAGCCAGCGCAGAGTTCCAATACTGATGGTACCGGTCACAATCTGGTTAAAAGTCCGTCTTGCCTTTCCTCTGATTGTAGTGAGCCGGCCAGACCCTCTGGTCACACCCAGGTGCCCCATTTTCTCCAGGCCATAATAATCTTCTTTCTCTACTGATTCCGTTGCTTGTTCCCAAAAAAGCCTTGGCCACATCTGCCTTGTCATGTATCAATTCACCACCCAGTGGTGCAGATCCAGCCAATCTGTCTGTCTGTTTATTGCCCTCCACGCCAGTATGGCCTGGGCAAAAGGTCCACAGTATGCTCAGTGCCCGTGACCTTTCCAGTAAAGCTTGCCACTCTGCTTGAAGTATCCCTGTCTTCACCTTTCTCAGCATGCTTTCAGAGTCTGTTACAATCCTTGCATGGTGTCAAGCCAGCCTGATGTCTCGCCATATATTCTAACCGATCAATTCGACCTCAGCTAAATCTCAACACAGCAGCTACACGTCTAACATCTTTATCATCATCATCATCATGTGCTGTGCTAATCAGGATAGGCTGTGTCGTTTCGTCAGTTCTCACGACCAACAGAATCATGGATCAAGTCAGTGATCTTGTCTCACGTTTTCCCTCTAGCCCGGCTATCCAGGTGTTTATCTCTTGCCATGGTCTTGTTCTGTTTCCGTCACTCTTGCCGGCTGTTGTCATGTTCTCCAGTCCACTCCTTGTACTAACATATCCACAAACTACTTGTGCTAACATATCCACAGGCTACTTGTGCTAACATATCCACAAACTACTTGTGCTAGCATATCCATAAACTACTTGTGCTAACATATCCACAGGCTACTTGTGCTAACATATCCACAGGCTACTTGTGCTAACATATCCACAGGCTACTTGTGCTAACATATCCACAAACTACTTGTGCTAACGTGTCCACAAACTACTTGTGCTAACATGTCCACAAACTACTTGTGCCAACATATCCACAAACTGCTTGTGCTAACATATCCACAAACTACTTGTGCTAACATATCCACAAACTACTTGTGCTAACATATCCACAAACTACTTGTGCTAACATATCCAAAAACTAACATCTACAAAGTCATCAAACGACCGCATCAATCCTTGCACTAAAGATTGTAGAAGTGTATGAAATTTTCCTCAGTTTAATCATGCGCGGAAACCCATTCAGACATGTTGTACGTTTTTAACCGAGTGGTTAAACCACGTGTGTAACCACCTGTTTAACCCATCTCCTTAATCCATATGTTTCACCAACTAGTTAACCCACATGCTTAACCTATCCGATTAACCCATATGTTTAACCTACGTGGGTTCCCAGCTCACCCATCTCTGTCTGAGATGAAGAGATGAGAGGCGAGGAAAAGTCTGGCGTCTGTTCCAACTATAAACACGTCCCAGTTAATATCTTGCATTCGTCCTTTAAATAAAACTGTCCAATACAAATATATTCTTGTAACTGATTTTATTGTCTCATATTAACATTGCAACCAAACAACTATAAAGAAACAAAAAATCATTGAGTTTGTTAGACTCTGGATAAGAACAGTTTTGGAACTTTGTGAGGACGCATTTAATACCACAACTACAATGTCAGGTCACAGAATCTCTATGAAGGGTTTCAACAATATGTTTCGGAGGGAGGCAACATTCAGCGCATGTTTGCATCGAGGCAGTATCTTTTTGTTTTTTAATGTAATTTGACATCAACAAGGCATTAAGTCCACATCGACTAGTCAAGCGTATGCTGGGTTCTCTTCACATTTGTCTCAAAGTGGCAGTAATAATAATTTGTCGTTATCAAAATATTTCTTTAACCCATTCGGTGCTTAAGTGGATTTAAACCTAGCTGGATTACAGCAACTATTGCAGTAGGTAAAAGACACTTAGGAATCAACGAGTTAAGTGTTACCGGCCTGGGACTGACTGAGTTAAAGATCTCTGCTGATACATCTCTCACAAACATAGCAAGGCTGTTTCAATGTGACTGTCTGGGCATCAATCAAAGTTTGCTAGCTCTGTCCGCCCGGTGCTGGCTCTATCGGCAGGGGACAGGTTCAAATCTCCGTGTATTTACTGCCTCAGTGGCTAGACAAATTGGTGTATCTGCTCACACTTACCTTGTTTTCAGTTAGCCCCAGACACACGTCCCAAATATGATCGAACGTGTTAGTGTAAACCACACCTACTACAAGTTATACTATAGGCGCTATCAATGTTACATAATGTAGATCTACAAGTTATACTATAGGCGCTATCAATGTTACATAATGTAGATCTACAAGTTATACTATAGGCGCTATCAATGTTACATAATGTAGATTTTTAAACTCTCCTAACCTCGCAATGTCTTCTCTGACTGATTAGATTTAGTATGCATTTTATATTGCACATCCTATAATTTACAACATTTTTTTTTAAATTATATTTATTAATTTTTCCAAGATTGGTTTCACATCGGACTAGCCAATGGGAATAGGTTTCCCTTTCCAAGCGCAGATAACTTTTATACAAACAACCGCATATTTTATACAGCGTCACAGAATTGTCTTCCCCTGTGTCAGTCTGCTCTAGTCGCTACAGTGACAGTTTTGGGTAGAAAACACGGGAGGCAATCCCACACATGTTCTGACCACGGACAATCTTCATGTATCCAGCTTCACCCCAGCTGGATCCTGAAATGAAACAAACAATGAACTTTATAAGAAAGAAAGTCAACAAACAATGCACTTTAGAAGAAAGAAAGTTAACAAACACTGCACTTTAGAAAAAAAAGAAAGTTAACAAACACTTGTATGTAGATACACGGTTATTTCTGTCAGTAAACAAATTTTTCTGACCAACGCTCAAACAACCAGTATAAACAATCAACGAGTGCATAATTACCATCAAAAAGGCTCAGTATAGAGTCAAACAGGCCACCGGGGATGCCTATTTCTTGAGTGTGGTGTGTCCAAATACATGACGTTGGAGAACATTATATCCCAGGAGTGGTGCACGCATGAAGAGGCAGTGACCCTTCAGGTGGTCAACAGATGTTAAAATCTGAGTAACAATGAAGTTTATGGAAGGCAGTGTTTTGGCAGGCCTCGTGTGGCAAGGGCTTTTTGTACTGTCTTTTGATCAAATATAAGTATTCCTTTCATCAGCGCCCTTTTTGTTAGTTTTCTACAATCAATCCCTTGATACAGACTTCTACAAAGGCAATTCTATCTCTGCTGTGTCCATGGTTATCTTGTTATCCCTTTGGTTCA